AAACAGAATGTTAACCAAGGGTTGACTGTACAGTGCAATATTAAACTGAGTATGCTGTGCACTTTATCCTTGAAAAATCAAAAGCAAACAGTGGTGTGCACATCATGATTGGGTACAAACTTTCCCAGCTATTTTTCCAAAATCATTCTGCAGGTCACAGTTTGGATGAGCTATAAAAAAGGTGAATAAATTAAATTAAATTTCCCTTTCCATTCAGTATAAAGTGATGATGCAACAAGTTGTAATTCTCACATTTTTAATACTTCTTCAATGAAAACTGGGGTGTGGGTCTCATGAAGAAATAATTTTGTGCAGGTGGAACCTTGCAATTTGATGTCCTACAATTTAACCATCCTGCAATAATTCAGCAGTCAAATTTTCTGGGAAATTGACTTGCAATTTGACCTGCAGACAGATTCAAAATTTCAAATTCAAGATAGAAAACATCAAATTTGACATTGTTTCACTACTGGACTGCTTTGCAATTCAACTCTTACCCAGCAACAGATTAGGGTCAAATTGTTTTGTTGCTAAAAAAAATATGGTGTTATGCCAGCATGTGGGGGTACACAAGAGAATTATCTGGTAAATTTTTAAAATTTTCCTGATTTAATTTTCATCCAGGGTTTGACCAAATATTCTGGTTTTCTGTTGCCAAGTGCAGGATATTCAGTGATTTATAATTTGAACACCAATTGGGTGAGTCTTTAATAACTTATTCATGATCTCCTTTTGAATTAAGGAGCAATACTTTGAACTTTCCATTGTCCAGATTCTTTAGAAATATTTCGATTTCCAAATTCAGTCCCGCAAAAATTAATCTCTTTTCCAACCAAATTTCTCTCAAAATGATTTCAAGACAAGCATAAAGAAAAACAACAACTGAGAAAAAATGCATCTCCTTTTACACTTATTGTCAAGCAGGAAGCAGAAGCTTATTATTGACTCAAGTCATGCCCTAAACAAAAGGGCAGGTTTTCCAAATCGGGTTTTCCCATACATGATTTCGTTTTTCCTTTCCCGTTTGTTTTTCTCCTGCAAAAGGCAGGTAAGAGTTTCGACCTCCGAAGTGGGCAAGAAAAGAAGTCATATGACGCAAGGTTATACTTTTATTTTTATTTTATTTTTTCAGATAAAGAAGGTGAGAATAAGAAAGAAGCATTTGCTCTTTGGATCCTGACAAAGAAGCATCAGTTATACTCGGATATGCTTCAGTGATCAGTGATTTGACATTCGACTGAATTTCTGAGAAAGAAAACCGAGTCTTGTGGGTTTTATTACGTGATAATAAATTCAGAACAAGTTTCTTTTTTTTTTGTGTTGGTAATGGGATGATTATACTTTTTGAAGCAGTTTATTCTGGGAAGCATATTTTAGCTACAATTAAGACCACTTTTCAACCAAATTTTTACTGTAGCAGTCCTTAAAAAGTTGAGAAAACATTTTGAAAGCAAATTTATAAAATCACATTAACTCATATGGAAATGGACTTGACTAATTAAGAACTAAACAAAGCATGACTGGGTTTATTCAAAAGTGAATTTATTTTTCTAGCAACATTTAAAAAATTTAATTTTATCAAGAACAACTTGGAAAACAAATGAATCAGATGAATTGATTGCCAAGTAATTTTTCTCATCTGCCCTTTGACATTTTTATTGACACCATGTTCCAAAACTAACCACTATTATTCATATTCAATTGACTATAATTTGTTTTCTTTGTTCTGCTGAAAAAAAAAGGTTGTATCTGATCTGTGGTTTGAATATAAACCAATTACATTTTGAGAATTATTGAAATTAAATGTGTATAAACAGGCAGCATTGATTCAGTTCTTTAAAACTTGTATTATTTTGGTGAATTGAATATATATAGCAAGAATGGTTTTTATAGGTGAATGAATACATGCGCTTTTCAATTTTTTGAAGTCTGCGGTTTGGTGCTGACTTGCATGAACCTTTGGAAATAAATTGCCCTTTGGAAATTACCCCAACATCCTCAGATTTTCGAATACAAAAAAGCTAATTATTCATTATTAAAATTTTGCAGGTTATATTATAATGCATAATTATTGCATTTTGAGATTAATCATGATTTTGAAAAATCAGTTTTTAAGTTTGAGAAAACGCTTTTGTCCTATACGTTTTTATTCAAATTCGCATTTGTGGTGTCAATTTTATGAAAATATTTTGCATTTTGAATACAATGAATTTATCGTGTTGTTACTCAATTTCAAACTATAATGAGACATTTATTTCCGGTAAAAGCGAAATTGATCAATAATCAATAATTTGTGCACGTCTTCATCAGTTATTAAAGTGACTTGCGTCTGAAATTTTTTCCTTGTCAATTTCAAAGTGATCAACCCTTGTTCGAAATTTGCGTGTTTACAAAAATTGTATTTTTCGCAGGAATTTTCAATCTAGACGTGAATCGATAATTTTTTTTCGGAGAATATGTGGTGAGGTTGTCTTTTTTATTTTCTCAATATAGCAAGACATGGGTGAGTTATTGGCAAATTGATTCTATGTTTTGAGTTTGGAAAACAAATTAATATATATTTTTTTCCTGCAGGTTTCATTCAGAGAAAAAATCGAATGAGTTCGGATCCGGTGATGAGCGTGGCGTATTTGCGGCGCCGTTCGCAAGACGGGGAACTCGCGGAAATCGCCTCCAGGCAGTCGGAATACGGCGGCAGTGGCGGCGGCGGTGGTCCTTTAAATAACACGATGGAGGAATCGGCGCCTTCGAGCAACAGCCTCCGCATTTTCGGGGGTGGTTGTGATGGTGTTGGGACGCCGTTGGGGACACGGTGTTGGAATGCCGTCCGGAAACGCGTCCCGGTCTTGACCTGTCCGACGCGTTATTCCCTCAAGGACTTTTGGGCCGACTTTTTGGCGGGGATTCTCACTGGGATTCCTTGCATTCCGCAGGGCATCATTTACGCTGAGATAGCGAACCTGCCCATCCAGGTGAATTTCCTGGGAAAAAACACGTTTCCCCCTTTTTTTTCTTTTTTTTTTTACAAGGGGGAAAGCATTATTTCTCCAACGTGTTTTTGCAACCAGCTGCTGTCGCGGGGCCACTCCGAATTAGTGTCAAGTTATTAACCCTTGTGAGGCAAATTAGGGATTTTTTCTGCCAAAATGTGTGCCAGTGAGCACTGGTGATTTTAAAAATTCTACTTTTGTACCAATAAAGGCTTAGGTTGGAAAAATTTTTGATATTTTTTTCTAATCCAGCAGAAAAATTTTAAATAACAAATACAGTGAGACCCCCAGATGCAGACATAATTGGTGAATCACGAGTGTCCCTAAGTTGAGTCTTGATTTCCTATAGACTTACATTATATAATTTTTACTTGGTGTTTTATGGAAGACATATTCTTCAGAATTCCATGAAAAAAGTTGTTGGCAACTAGAATTTGATTCAGTGAATATATTTTCAACTCAATTAAGAACATTTGGAGCATTGGATAGTGTACCTCTGTACAGTACATCAAAATGCTTGCACCTGTAAGAATTACGTTCAAGTCACAAAGAGAGAAGGAAGTCCCTCTATGCAGTAGGTATTTTTTAAATAGCTGAATGGATGGGAAAATGATGGGAGAAATGAAAAAAATTCTTGCATAAAACTTAGGGTTGGAAATATCTGTTTCTTGCAATCAATTCCAATAAAAGGGAGTTTTTATGAAATGTATTGGCAATTTTATCATGCAATGTCCTCATGCTGAGTCAGTATCCATATGTTGCGCCTTTCTTATGCTGTTTTTATTGAAGAAGAAATGTCCCTATGTTGAATTGTCTGCATGTTAAGGTGTCTGCATGAGGGGGTCTCACTGTGAATAAAAAATCCCTCACTGGGTGATGTTTTTTTCCTGTAGTGCTGGCATAGGCTTTGCATGGGAGATTTTTGAAAACCAGAGAAAAGTTGCCTCTTGGATTTTTCCAACTTTGGCCTTCTCAACTTGGGAGCATTTCAGTAACCTAGGGTCAAACTGCAATGCCCCACCTCTAAAAAAAATCCTGACTCCACCATGTAATGCAAATGTACCCTCTGCCATCCAAG